TTCATTCATTCTGTAATGTCATCATTTATCGGGCATTGCTCGAAGCTTCAAGCGATTTAGTTACTAGTATCAAGTCGAAATTGAATCGAATGGCTGAACACCGTCGTCTGGAGCCCGATTTGAGCAAAGGAGCACGGCGAACGTCAACGAAATGAGAAACGAATTTCAAACTATTTAGTTTTATCGCTGGTTTTATGTTACATTGCGTCTTAGCATTCGTTTTCCTTTTCTCCTCTTCTCTGCTCTTCGGAATGACGTCTTGTTCCTTACGGGGTTTCCATCTTTTCTTGCATTCCGAGCGCTGCATTTCATTCCAATTTCTTTTTCGTTCGTTTTTTTATGTGTATGTGTGTGTGTGTGTGCTTTGCTGTGGTGGAACTCATCGTATTTTCAGGTTCGTTATGTATCATGGCATTTTCATTGCAAAAATGGTTATATTGACTTTGTTTGTCGATTTCGAGCTGCTTCACAAATCTGATGATGAAAATAACGCGCACATTGCACCGAAGAGAGTTCAATTGAAAGTCAAATAAGACAATAGATTGACGGTCGTTTGATAGCAGTAAGATAGGGAACGAGTGTGTGACACGAAAAATTTATAATCAGATGGCAAAGGACAAATCGGAGCTAACCTTTTCGAATCAAGCGACGCGATCAAGGGAGAAGAAAAAACCGTTCAAATCAACATACGAACAAACGAAACGAAAACCAACAACAACTAACAATGACGATTGCAACGATTGAACAAAACATTTAAGAAAATATACCATTGAAGGAGTCCCGAATGCGCAATCACACGATGCGATAAAAATCGATACTTAAAAGCCGTATAAAAGGAGACAAACGATATCTACGAATCATATAAATACCGGATAAAAAGCAAACAAAACCAATTTCTATTTTCTGCTCTCTCTCTCTCTCTCTCTCTCTCTCTTTCCTTGCATTTTGTCGTCAAAAAAAAACTGAACAGCTCGCAGGTGTTCGGTGTCGTTCCCATTCCAATGGTTCATTTCGAATTGTGTAAATATGCTCACACAAACTAAATACTGCTATGAAGAGAGAAAGCCTGATTTTGCCTACAGCCAGCTTTTTTGAATTGACTCTCGAAGCGATCCCAATAACGACGAACTCTTGCATTAATGAATTTCAATATGAAGCATGGTTAACTTGTTATTGTGACAAAACTATTTGAATAAATTTTATACGACGAACAAAAAAGAAATAATGCTGGCGACAAAAAACTGACTGATAAATGGAATTACATTGCTACCTACTAAATTAACTAAAAGTCTAGTAAAAGCGCCAGCAATTAATATAATAGTTTCAGTTTTCAGTTGAAAAGTTTTTTGGTTCAATCCTTTTCTTTCCATTCTTTTCCATTACCATTGATCATGTCGTGCTCATTTCATACCAATGCCAAACTGAAAACGATTTGTTTCAAACAACTGGCAATATATATTTTACTGCGAGCAAATTGAGCGTTTGAATAGTATCATCATATATTAAAGGCAATTGTGTGAATGCATAAGTTTCTGAAATGTGATAGTATGTTTCGGATACATACTGGCTTAAATTTTCAATAGATTTTGAGAAAATTCTGTTTACATTCGCAGCTTTTGTGACAATATTTGCTTCACTAAAGCCAATTATATCTTCAGCACTTGGGTTGTTTGGCCAAGATAAAAGATTCAAATGTTTTGGAAATGTTTTTTTTTACTTGTTCACCACGACGACGATGACAGCAAGCTAGTTAATTCTTAAACATTGAAATGTGATCGCATAAATAAAATTTTAAGTACGAAAAACAAGAAAGAAAAAGCAAGAGAGAGCGATGTAAGTGTGTGAAACGGTAGCACTGATATTTCAAGATTATCTATTATTCAAGATGCGATTGTCGATTCTTCAAAACTCTATTCCTTCTTTTTTGTTTTGCTTTGTTTGCGATTTTACTATTTGCGAGTGAATTGAAAGTGATCCTTCGAAATGCCATAGAACTGAAAACTTGTGTGTGTGTGAATGTGAATGTAATGTGCTCGATGCATTATTTTTTCCAGCACTCCACAAACAAATATTGTACGATGATTGAGCGCGAAAATAAAAAGTCAAACAGAAAAAAGTCGAATGGAAAAGTATCAACAACAGCAATGTTTGCATATACACACGAACAAAAAATAATCGAAATCGAAAGCTAAAGCAAATTCTTTGTAAAAGATTTTTTCACGTTTTTTTTATGTTCGTGTGACAACAGAATAACATCGTCAACAATAAGTGGAAAAAAATGCGTCCACTTTTAACAAAATTTACGTATTAACCGCTTCGACAGCCAAACAAATGAGATGACTATGGCCGATGTAGCCAAATATTTTCGAAGAGATGGAAAAAGGTTCAATGCGACGAAAATCACATTTTCGCTCCTTATGCTCTCTGTTCGATTCCTTTGTATATACGTTCCATTCATATTGGGTTCGTTTCAGTTTTTTTCCCGTCTATTGCCTATTTTTCTTCGTTTTCTTGATGCTGTTGAAATAATTCGTTACGTGCGCGCTTTTTTTCTCTTCTCGTTTTTCTTTTTTCGATTTTCATTCTCTCGTTTCGACTTCTGCTTCGTTCGTTTTTGGTTTATTTGTTTGACACTCTTTGCGTACCATTTCACTTTTTGGCTCTTATTTACGACAGTTCTTTAGTGGAAGAGAGCGACAAACATGTACCAAACCCATATGCGAAAGAGATTTTGAGTGTTTGTGAATGTGTGTTGAATGTGAAGTTTTTGTTATTGTTACGTTCATTTCATTTCATAAACGGGGTGAGAGCGAGCGAGCGTGAATGCAAGCACATCAAACCATTATTTGGGTGTATGTGTACGAGGCGCGCGCGAGTGTTTTGTATTAAAAAGTTGTGTGTGTGTGTGTGTGTGTGTGTGACAATTCTTGACTCTTGATTTCAATATATCCCATTTGCCTTTTCTCACATACTAACGAGCAATCGTGCTGTTTGCCATATTTTTACTTTCGATTTCGAGCAAGCACGGCAGTCATCTAGCAGACGAGAAAACGTGGCATCGTTTTGGGTTGCTAAGATTATGCTTTTTTTTCTCTCCTGTTATTGTTGTACCCTGGTTAGGCTCTCATTGGATTTCACACATGAAGAGAATATATGTGCCCTGTACACACGCAAAAAAAAAAAAAAAACAAACAACAACGTGTATATCTTGAACACACAAAATAGCACGAGCGATGTGCATAAAAATTCGGAATTGGAGCATGTATTTCGATGAGATGTGACAATGACAGACAGTGAAGAATACCAGAATTTGGGGATGAAAATGGCAAAAAAACGAACGACCGAACAAACAACAAACAAACAAACAAAATAAGAAAAATGAAGATGTAAAATGGAAATCGTGCACTGGAATGGTATTTAGAATGCGTATAGCATATGCGGCTCCCAATGAGCTTTTGCTATATTGAAGTGAAAATATATTTATTATTATGGAGAACAGACGCATAAAAAACCAACATTCAACTCACTCGCTCGACTGACTTTCAGTGAGTTTGAGCGTTACGAATTGGTCGTAAAGTCGTTGTCAACTGAGAGCGATCGGCTCAAGAAGTAACGAAAAAAAACTGTATTCACTTAATCCATCTTTTTAGCCACCAAACTGATATATACGCAATAAAAACCATGAACGAAAGGAAAAAGAAAAACAAAGGAAAAATATTCGTTCTATTGGCCATCGCTTTTTTTTGGGGGGTATCTTATTTTTATCCATTCATTCATATGTACTATAATTTACGCGAAAACACGGACACACATTTTGCACGCACACTTGTCTACCCAAAATGTCTATTGCATGACAAAGATGGCAACAGAGAAGAGAGAGAGAGAGAGAGAGGCAAATTGATGCGAAGCATAATTTACGTGTGAAGATTTGATGAAAGTTTATGCGGGGGACGGCGGCGAGTGGGATGGAGTAGGTAAGAATGTGAAGTGAACATGTTTTGCTTACACTGTGCATCGGACAGATATTTTTTTACATATATGAAAACGAGTATTTCAAGTACATAAAATTTATTGTTCGCATACATGTTCACACTTATGCTTGCATGCATCAACTCAAACAGCATGAAATGAACGGAGTGAAAAGACGAAAATGAGCGTAATGCTTGAAAAACAATAATCATAACAGTGACACACAAATACACTTTTTATATGCGGCGCATTCCATTTAAAGTACACCCGGAACGGCTCGACACATCACACTCGGTTACTTCACTTTTTGTTACTTACGGCCGAATAAACTAAACAAATAAATGAAAACAAAAAAAAGTGCACGAAAAAAAGAAAAGAAGGAAACAAATGTGCCAAACGAAAAGAAAATGAATTCACGTTCTCACATAGTAAAGATATGCGCGCGTGAACATGTAGCAATTTACATAAATCATAAAATGTTATTACAAAAGCGGCAGCGGTGGCGGCAAAAGAGCAAGTGAACGAAGATTCGTGTGTATTTCGCTCTTTTTTCTTCTCTCTTTTTTGTTGTTGTTGTTTTGCTCAACATAGTGAAAATTTCATGCATCCCATCAATCCCTGGATCAATTTATGTCGTTTATTACGATAGTTATATGATTTCGTTTTCATTCCATTGCTTACTGGCGCTTTGTTTTCTTTTATTTGTAACTCAAGTGTGTGTGTGTGTATGCGAGCTTCATATCGCATAGATAATAACCGAAATCTATCTTCTTCAATGCGTCTTGCGATTTCAATGCAAATGAACATCTCGAATGAATTTCAATTGGAATTTCGTGCGCACTTGTTTTTTTTTTATCTCCGTTCATCTTTTTAACGCTGAATTATTTCGCCATAGCTACCCATTACATATTATACAAAAACATTTTCAATACAAATTACATAAAAAAATGTGAAATATACGTCTGCACTTAAGCTCAAAAGATGATTTACGTCTAACGAGTAATAAATCATCATTTTACTGTGCTACTTACGTTTCGTTTTTTATATATTTTATTTTGGCTGAAGGAGCCACTTTTCAAAATTGTTGGCGCAAATTAGCTGACGAGTTTTTTCTCCACACGTAAACGCTCTGCAAAAAAAAAAAAAAACGGGAAACTTGAGAAAAGATAGGAACAAAATTCGGATGTCTCGTCAAAAGATGCTTTAATTCAATAGAAAATGAACTGATGAAACCTATTAAATGGATAATTTTACAGATTCAGACCACCTTAATTAAATCATATACAAATTGAATTTTTTATGTCATTCGGTATTTTCTGTTTATTTATGTCGGTTGCCAGACAGTGATTGGGGCTAGTATTTCTAGAATAGTCTCTTTGAATTGCATACTGCCCTTCCTCTCAATCTATGTTGCAAACCAGACGAATGTTATTTAGCCTCAACAACGTCTTAATGTCCATCATCAATTTTACAACATCTTTCAAAGTAACAATCACCACTTTTTCTGGTTTATCGTTAATCGAAGTATTTTGGTTTTTTTTTTTCTAAGATAGAATAAAGACAACATCGTCGAAAATGACTGTTACTTAAGACTCTACTAATCAGTGATTTTAGTTTACCAAGGAAAATTGTCGCATGAAACGTAATTGTCTACAATTTAAGCAAACCGTCTAATTTGATACAATTTATTTTTTTATTTTAACTACAGTTAAATAAAAAACTATTCAGAATATTTTCATGAGAAACAACATGTGGCAATGTGGTGTCTACATCACAATTAACATGCCAATCAAAAACAGTTGAAATATCATCTGGGAAAATATATACAAAAAATATAAGAGTTTCAAATTAAATTCATATTTATTATTCGCATCGTTAAATAAATGGGGAATGAAATTGTGCAATTGCTAAATGATGACACATTTTCACATTTTCTTTTGTTGAAAAAGTGCTTTTAGCTCAAGCGCTTGCAGAAAATGACATATTTTTGTGCAAAATATGTAAATTATTTAGGTAAATTGGGATATCAATATTGAGTCCAGCGATGTTTCATTGTTTATTCAGTTATTTTTCAAGAAAAGTGCATTTTGATTAACTTGCTATAATCTCTCATTAAAAAATGAGCAAAATTATCAATAGCACGCAAGTCTTTGTGTAAAATTAAACAAGTTGAAAATAAACTGTAGAGAAAAAAAATGTTATCAAACCCACCAAGACAAAAGCCGGTATCATTTGGCTAACCTTAATCTTCAAGGCATTAACCGAAATAAGAACCGTCATTGCTGGTGTGCCAGTTTTTCTATGAATAAATTTTGGTTGAGTTTTCTGTTTTCATTTTCGCGCAATCATTTCGGACACATTGAAAATGTTCGTTTCTTTTTTTTGTGTGTATTTTGCGTGTCTATCGTCAGGCATCAAATGACTCACTCAGAGGATTAAAACCACACAAATGACATTGTTAAAAACAGATCACAAGAAGTGGAAGAGATAGCGGGACTACAAATCTGAAATAGCGATTTGACGAAAGTAAAAACTTCGTTTGTTTTGTGTGTTTGTGGCACTTTCCAGTTTTTTTTCGCCGGTTTTCATGTGAATTTAATATGAGAGTAGAGCGAAACGGCTACGGCTACGGCTATCTACACAGATGGGACGTCGATCAGCCAAGCCGCAAATGTTTGCAAATAAAATGACGCACTGAACAAACAGATTGTGTTAGTACATTGAGAGAAATGGGGCGAAAGCCGTTAAAAGAATAAAAGAGAGAGTAAATGGTTGACTAAGAAAGTGACAGTGAGTGAGAGTGGAAGAGAGTGAGAAAAATCAAATCATTTCAACATAAAATATGTAAATCGCGTGTTCAAAGTGCAGATTAACAAAACCGGATTGATATCGGCAGTGCATGCAAAAAAAAAAAATTGAGACACGATACGGAAAATAAGTGAATGCGGTTGACGGGGGAAAACAGCATTCAGCATTCAGTGGCGATGCGTGAGAAAAGCCGATTTATGATCAAAAAGAAGTTTAACCATAAAATGTCAAAACAAAAATATCACAACAAAAAACAACAACAACAATTGTGCAAATAGACCGCTATTTGCACTGTTTAATGTGCCATGGCAGCAGTGGAAATGCGTGCAAAACTCGTACACTCAGTACATGAAGATTCTTGTCAGCAAAATATATCATTTGAGTAAGTAGCAAATCTTTTCTTTTTTTCTCTTTTTGCGCCCCTTTTCGTTTTTACTCTCTTCGTTTTTCTGGTTTTTTTCAGTAAAAAATAAAAAGAAGAAACAAGCATCAAATCAACAGCGGAACTACGTTATATTTGATAAATCGATTCGGCATTCAAACACTCAATGGCATAGATTTCAATAAAGTTGCCGCTTGAAACTTTTCCAAGCTATTCGTCGAATTAGCAATTTTTCTTTTTCTTGATAAACTTTGACATTTTTCTTTTGTTGTTGTTTTTCTTGATGCGTTGAATGCGTCGAGTGTTTCATGTCCAAGTTCATGCAAAACATTAGCACAAAGATGCTCAATTTTCGATTCGATTGTCAGTTGTTTTTTTTTTCTCGTTTGCAAAAAAAAAAGAAGAGAAACCAAATGTCAGCAAAAATCTCTTATATCTCGTGTGTTTATATTCATGCTTGTCGTAAAGGAAACAATGCACGTTTCAAAGCAAATAAACACACACACAACAGCAACGGCGCACCAACAACGGAAACAATGCAATCAGTGAACTTCTTAATTTATCTGTTATCTTTCGATAATTTATATTCTTTTGGGTTTGGCGTGATCCGTAAAATCGTGTGTATTGCCTTGACGTTTCGGCTACCGTGTTCATTGTATTGATTCTTCGCTCTTTCTTTTTGTTTCTGTTTTGTTTGCTGTGTAGTTGCGACTGAATCGAAGAGCCAATTCGACATGCAGAAATTGTTTTTGATTGGCACACAAACATTTACTTTATAAACATGATTACGGTTCAACTTACGAAAACAACTGGATTTTGTCTACCATTGACATGAGTTGTTTATTTTACAATGTACATAAATCCGATATCTTTGTTAAATTCGTATTCGGCCTATGGTCGAATCCATCGAATAGAAAAAAAAAATACCAAATGATATTTACGAAAACGAAATGAAAGAAGAAAGCACACATTTTTGAATTGGAATTTGCATTGACGCGATGCGTTTGCATTGCCAATGTGTGTGTATGTGTTTATTTGTGCACGATGTCGATGGCTATAGCCATTGTACATGTTTCAATCTTTATTATTCGTACATCGCAATCAAAAGACGCCGCTTTGAAACGTGACATACTAAATAAAAGAAATTGTTGTCGAACAAAAGCAGACGAAAACACACAAAACAAAAGCCGATGTACACGAATAATGAATCGAATGAACCCAACTGCAATTGAACAACCAACAAAATGAACACAGCCATCAACCGTGCGCACACAAATACAATGTGGAAACTCTGTGATAGCGGCTTATTTTTTACTCGAAGAGAAAAGTGGAAAAACTGTTTTTCTGTTCACTTTCAGTCAATTTAATTTGTGCGGTTCCATAAAATGCCTTATGTGGTGCACGCGCGAATTACCATAACCACCTCCTCACATATACGGGCACAAATCTATCAAGCATTCTCTTAAGATATAAACGCGCTATCGAGGAAAACAAACGAAAAAAAAGGGAACATGGAATCGCTAAGAAGAAATTATCAAGAAGTTTATTTCGCAATGACGAAGAAGAAAAAGAAGAAGAAAAAAATCCACTTGCTTATCTAGATGTTTGCGCTCAAAGAAAAGTTTAAGTATGCACACAAACAATCAGATGCTGCAAATAGTTACAAGCACACAACACATGGTTATGTTGAAAAAGTGACAGAAGGAAAAATGTTGAACGAATTTCGAGACAAACTGTGTTGTCATTGCAGATTTCAGAAGTTGAACTTAAGCGCGAAAACAAGTAATGATAATAAACACAATGCAGACTAGCACCAACCCTCCACATACACACGGGCGCGCACGAATTAAAACAAAACTAATTTCATGGAGTGCTTCGAATCAATTTTGCGTTCAAATTTATTTTGCACTGCTTGTCATTCACGCAATGCATCAGTGATTTCAATCGAACACATGAATTTATCTCATTTTACTTTGAACAGACTCTGGCATCAACCCAACATTCTCGATGTCAATGGAAAATCATATAAGTATCGGCACCCAGATTCAGTTTAGCATTTGATCAATCAGCGATACGCACCGTAAGGGAATTTTATTCTCTTTTGCATCGGTTTCTTTTCCCATCTTTCGACGAAGAAGAAGAAGAAAAAAAAGTGAAAAAAAGAGTCAAAGTTCTATTTTTCGATTGAAAAGGGATGATAAAAGTATTTGAATTTTGATTGGATATTGAAGTCATGTCTTCGTTGTTTTTCAGACACACACACACACAAAGATTAATATATTTATGGAGATGGTAAAGGACATACATTGATTTATGAACACATTTATGACTAAAGTTCATGCAACGAATGTTTCACATTCTTCGTTCACACGTAAACCATTGACGTAAACTAATGGTATTTCCATCGAAGAAAAAGCAGCGTGAGGAGCGTAAAATGTGCTTCAACATTTGCCTCACAATCACGATATTGAACAGTGATCTTGTTCGTTTTTTTAACTCTTGTTGTAGATGCTATCTACGTTTCGCTTCTTGGCCGCCAACGGCATGAATTTCTTTAAAACATTTTCAGCTCCGAATGGATTGAAAGTCAATCCCTCTTGTGATCCATGAGTACAATGTGACAAATGGTTCGACTCAATTTACAGATGCGTTATTATTCTCTTTTTTTTTTTTGAAACGAATATTTACTCGTAACGAGCACGCCAAGCAAATTGTATAAGCGCCCTGTTCCTGCAGTCAGCGATCATTCAAAATATACGTTTCGTTCATCTCGTTCATTCATTCGCATGAAATTATTCCCTCTTATTCATTTTAAAAAAAAAACGAATAAAGGTGTACAAGCATCACGAGTGGAAATGTTTTCATTTCAACACTATTTTCAGTCTGAACGAAAAAGAGAGAGAGAGTATGAGAAAATGACAAGAAATCTTTCTCATTTC